GTGTTCACTTCTGGCTGCTGACAATCGCATTTTGAAACATACTCAGTAGGAACTTAGTAAGGTTTTGCACTTGGATGCTGTTGAAAGGAACATACCCCGGGAGGACTGAGCAGGACATTGCTCTTTGCAGACTGCTCTGCCGTGCAGCACAGGAACTGAGTGCAACAGGACTGTCCATAAAGCCACTGTGCTCCGGGACTGAAGGACTGTCTGATTGGAAGGCAGAGGTGAACAACAAGTTTTCAGGGGCTTTCAAGCAGGAAAACGGATTATGATGGTAAAGAGATGTAAAGATGACATCTATATGGATTAGGAGAAAACTGGAATATAGCTGGCTCAGTAAGAGTCTACAGAGATGATAAGGAGAAGAGGAAAGGCTTACAGCAGGGAGAGAGGAGGATGGTTTGTGATCTTGGAGAAAACTTCTCCAAGACCTGGAGCTGTGCACAGGCTGCCTGTGTTCAGCTCTCAGCTGTGGAACCCATCATAAGATACTTCTCCTCCCCATACAAGTCCACACAGATACTGACAGTCACAGTCACTGAGAGACAGGCTTTGAAGGAGAGGATCTAGGGAAGTCATTAGCTCTACCTTTCTATCCCAAGATCAAGTTACAATCATGTCACCCCAAGCCACAGTATCTTATTGTTAATATTGAAGTTTTGGCCCATGTCTAATCTAAATCTCCTAAGCAGTTTGGTTTATGCTTCTCTGTTTTATTCTTCCTGATCTTTCCACCAAGAACATGTTAGTTTCTTATTCTTTACAGTAGTTTTTTAGTTGAAGACTATTAACCTTCCTTCTTCTCAGATGTTACTTCTTCAGCAAAATCCCTGCATTTCTTTCAATCTTCCCTTATGTTTTCTGGACCTTTATCCACTTTTGCTGATCTCCTCTGGCCTTAAGTGGACTTAAGTGCAGTGCACTAAACAGGACACGGTCTTCCAGATGAATCTTTAACAGTGGGGATCAACCCACATGGACTCTTTCAGTCAAGACCCCTTTGACATCCTAATGTGAGGGCTTTGCCATTCGTATTCAGCTTGTTCCACTGTAGTCCCTGGATTTTCCTCTTGTGACTGGTACCTAGACAGGCAAAACCAGGTTGCTATTTCTGTGTAAACATGGTATCTTGCACTATCACATCACATCAGTTTTAGGTGACTTCTCTAAATATATCAAGATACTTTTAAATTATAATCTTTTAACATCTATAAAATCTGCAGTCCTTCCTTTAATAATCATACTTCATATTCCATCTTCTATGCCTTCAATGAAAGAACATCAAATAAAACTTGATATGGGACCAAAGCCCACAGAATTCCTTGCAAAACATGTGTATTTTGAGAGATCATGAAGGAATTACCCCATGGATACAGCTATCCAACTAGACTTGACCTCCTGCCCCTTCCCACAGCAGTTTCATTTAGATCACAGTTCACTAGGATATTATAGGAAATACTGCTAAAGGCCTTGCAAAATATTCAATTAAATAAATAAACTCAAGCTACGTGACATCTGCAGCCATGATTCCACCCTCTTTTAAGACTCCTAGATTGAAGCTGATCAGAGTTTGGCAACTGGAAAACAGCTAACTTCACTGGTTACTCTCTAAGCAGGTTTTGCAGACTTTAGGCTGAAATGTTATTCCTTTTTCCTGATAATAATTGCTTCATGTTGACCTTTTTAGTAAAGATTGATGTAAAAGGGAGGGGGGGGGAAGGATATAAAGCAATTTGGCTTCCTTAATGTCCTCTGCTGCTGGTACCCCCCGATCCTTGGGTAGTGGTCCAAACTTACCTTTGTTTTCCTCTTGCCACCTTAGCTGTAAAATGTCTTTTACTTCTGTTAAGTTTTGCAGGTTGCATCTTGTGCATTGTATCTTTACTACCTGCTTGCACCATCCTCCCCCAGTTTATGGATTATTGTGCTGGGCTCTCAACCAGCTGACCTAGTCTCTGCTTTACAGGTTTCTCTCTCTCTTATGCTCGTGGTCGATTAAATGGTTACGAATTAGCTGACTTCTGCTGAATTTCCTTACTTTCCTCTATAAGGGCAGAGGTTGTACTTAGTTTTTCACCAGCGTTTAAGGAAGTGACAGCTGTCCATAATTTGATTTTTACTTAATTAGCCTCTTGTGAGAGCTTCCCTACCCATTCTCTGAGTTCCTTGACATCTGCCTTCTTGAACTCTCCTGCTGTCAGTCACTCAGATCAAGTGGCAGAAGTTGACACTATGTTCAGTGCAGCACTGATTCCTTGTAAGATGTCATACAGGGCAGCAGGCTTTGAGTCGTATGTTACACTGCCCTCTACCTACATGTAGGTGCTGCTCAGCTGAGAAAGGCGCTGACAATTACAGTATGTCTTAGGCTTTAACTTAGGCTGCTGTTCAGAATTTAGCATAAAGAATAGGAAGAAAAGTGTAACTTCATAGAACCCATCTGTAAGTCAATAACTACCATTATAATGGAACTCACACGACATGGATCTGTGCAGATGAAATATCTAGAACGCAAATACCTTTCGATAATAGATAATCCAGACTAGGGTATGCAATGATCCTTGCCCTATCATTTTTACTGAAACCTTAGAACATTATGAAGCTGTTTCATGGCACAATGGGCAGTGAGACAGTAATGGGGGAGAGGAAGGAAAAAGCAGTAAGCTTCACCTTAAGCAAAAATGGCTGATCAGACCACACTGGACCTATGCCTTGTAAGAACAGCAACAGAAGCTCTTACTGATATTTAATGCAAAACTTGCAAGACTTCAGCTCCTAAACCCTTCTAATCTCTTTAATATTCATATAACGGTTTGGGTTGGAAAGGACCTTAAGATCATGTAGTTCCAACACCCTGCCATGGGCAAGGATGCCTCAAACTAGACCATGACACCCAAGGCTCTGTCCAATGTAATATTGAGACCACTGCAGATACCTCGTGGACCCTCTCATAGGTCAACCAGAGATGGTCAAGAAAGTCAGGCCAAGCCTGGTGCTTCTATTAGAAAGCCTTGTTGCACAATTATTTTTACTCACAATATAACAATGCCAGTTTGTTTACCATCACTTCAAGTCAATTTGGATTCCCTAAGCAATGATTATTGAAAGTAACGAGTCCTCGGGCATGGCCAATTTTTATGACAGGTGTAAATAAACAAGTGGACATCATACTGGCAATGTGGTGTTGGAAGACAAAGGAGCAAGCGTTGCCTGTAATCAGGCGGGTTAGCTATCTCCTTTCAGGTTAGCTAGGTACCACAGGGAAGGGATGTGCAGTGTCAGTGCGCTATCTAGTGGTTGTACCGATTATGACATGTTCCCTGTATTCCTGTTCTGCTTGTAAATTGTAGTATTAAAAAGTACTTTAGACAAAATGAGGATTTGGAAGTGTTCAACCGTTCCTTAATGAATCCAAGACATTTTGAGGCGATAGGTGATTCATGTAATAACAAAAGTAGCTAAGTCTGCATGGATATGCCAATAAAACTGCTCCTGGGCAGTCATTCTTGTCATTAATAGCATCCTGACAAGCACTGGGCAAGCAGCTGATTTTTCTCCTTCACATACAGACTATAATCTAGATTATGTAATAAAAACCTGCTCAATTTAGGAGTGCATCAAGAGCCAGTTTAAGTATTTTCTTTAACTGCTAGATTATGTAATATTTTGCAAGATAAAAGCAGATAATCTGGATACTTGAAACTGGGCAGAGTCCACAGTAATGGAGGGCCAGGTGTGTTCTAGTGGAGAAAACTAACCCCTCCCTTGGGATCGTAGTCTAGGAAGAGGTGAAGATCACACACAAGAGCATTCTCCCCACTTTCTGTTTCTGCCAGGCATGTAATTGACCTTCAGTAAATTATATAACCTTCTGCTATGTTATTTATCTGTGAAATTGAGATAGTACTGTACTGTGGAAGCTAGAACAGCTTTATAGTTGATGGGTACTTCAGCTGTAAAAATGCATTTCCTATATTATATAAATGAAATAGAAAATAATATATATATATGTGATCTATACCAGTATATTTAGGGTACAACTAGCACACGCTTAGTTACATTGCTCTCAGCAATTTTGCACTGGGCTCCTTAGTAATGGAGAAAGCTCCCTGGATAGCTGCTAAACCATTTATCTTCAAGTGCATTTAATTAAGTAAGTGTATTTGGTTTAGGAGGCTGAGTAAAGATGTGATGACGCAGGTTTCAGCTTGGGTGGTGTTTCTTGGACTGTTCTTTCCAGGAAAGAAGAAATTTTGTTTTGGTCTTTCCTCATGCATCATGAAATCCAAGGTGACAATTCTGCTCTCCGTTCTTGGTAAATAATTCTTCTATTTATAGATAAGGGTCTTTCTGAACCCTTTAAACCAAGTTTAAAATAGATGGTAAACCTTACCTACCTTTATCATATTTCTGATATAAAGCTTCTATGGGGCATGTCTTGCCACACAGGATACCAGTTAATAAATACGTATATAAATACACTGTATGTATGTGAAAGCACCCCACAGGTGGATGCTGGACTGCGTTTGATAAGACAACCATGACTTTTAGTACTGCATAAAAGTCAGTTTCTTGGTCTTGCTCTCCCATCCCAAATAATCCAAACCTCAGAGGCTTCTGCAATAAGTATGTAAGACTCAAGCAAATCTACAGGCAACCTGCTTTGAGTGCTGGAAGCCAAGGAGTTTAGCCTTTTCCCTCCTACCCACAATCATTTTCTATACTTTCTTCTGATTCAACATTCACTCCAGATCAATTACCCTGAAAAGAGATATTTAAAACAAAATTTAACTGAAAGAACTTTTGTTTTTAAGATGACTGCTACTAACAGAGATTGACCTAAAAACAGATCAGAAAATTAAGTACATGCCTCACTAGTACTTCAGCCTTGTGTGTCTAGGTCCAGAGTACATGAACCCTGCTTGTACAACCTGTATAACTCTGCCCCCAAAAGGCATCAAAATAATTAGTTCAAGAAAAAAGTCTGACACTTAAGAGTCATTGCACAAACATTTAAACAGAGGAAATAATTTCTTTTACAAATGTGTTTCTCTTGTATAAGAATAATTTTGTACAGAAAATAGCTCTTTATACATATTACAGAAATACATTGACATTTAGATTTTCTGTTAATGGATAATGATTGATTAAATGCAATTTAAGATTTTGGTTATGTTTTAGAGTCACCAAATGCCAATAGCACAGCAATACATCACTTCCCCAATATCCTTACAGTGCTTGACTTACTGAATATTGACTCAAGACAGCGAAAACATTCCTAGAACCATGTTAATCCGCAAACACTCAAGTACCTTCAAACTCTTAGTTACGAAATACCTCCTGAAACTATAATCATAATTTAAGTGTCAAGGACTATGAACTTAAACCTTAACAAGGCAGCATTACTTTCTCACCCAGATTATCCTGCTGACTAATACTGTAAAAACCAAATTGAACAGAAACTCTTGTATTAAACTGGTTTACTGTTACTGTGACCTTCAAAATGAGACAGCAGAAGCTACTCTAGTAAATGCTGTACAGCATTAATACAACATATGAATGTACTAAAAATACTTTCATTTTCTTAAGAAAACACCAGAGAAGGTAGAGGGGGAAAAAAATCAGTAAATTAAGATATAAAAAGTAAATCTGTGTAGGATGAGAAAAAAATTGAAAAACATGTATATATATTTATATGTGAAAAACAAGGGTATGCTAGGAAGTACGGATATTTCAAAATACAGGATTTCTTCAAAGACTGTGTTAGAAGTCCACAGGTATCATGTGGGCCTCAAACAGAAATGACATTCACTTTTCCTCTAAAATTGCTGTTTCAAGCACCTGTACTCACGTGCAAATTTCCTTTGTAATTAGTGGGAATGTAAAAACATTTGTCCTTGAAATACAACTATATGCAATAAACTTCTCTTGCTTACTGGGCATTTAGTAAGTTTAAATGGAAGATGTAAGCAAGAAAGTACTATATAACCCAAAGACACAAAAATATAAACTTAAGATTGTACGTGATCTCCTTAGTATTTATACACAGCTACTTAAGAGTTTGCCAGTGGTACCCTATGTGAGTAGTGTTGATGCTTCAATTCAAAGCATCAAAGATGAAGATTCAAAGTCAAACATTGCTCTTGCTCTGAGTTAGCCAGTCTCTTAACACATACAACTTTCAAATAAACTCATCTGGAACTGGTCCACCTCTCCTCACAGCACAGAGGTTGATATGAGACAGTAATGAATCACATTAGACTGGTTCACATTTCTATGTAGTTAGAAGGAGAAACAAGCCACCTGCAAAACCCTATTCCAGTGATTTTGCAAATTCTGCATAGTCAATGTATCCATCGTTGTTCTTGTCATCATCTCTTAAGACATCATCTATTAGACTAATCAGCTCCTCTTCTTTCATTGCCTGGGTATTCTCACCACCTTCCTACAAAAACCAAAACCACATGGAACAGTTTAGCAGTGTTTATTGTCTAGTGCACATGACAGGTTACTGACAACTAACTTTTTGTTAAGCTATGTTTGGTGTCTAATTCGGCACATTTTATGTAATCATTTATACCAGGATAAGCAACTTTTACCAGGTGCAAGCCTATGAAGTCCAAGTTCTCTGCACTGCAGAACAAGCACTCTGTATCTAGTTAATATTATTAGCCAAAGTTCTAAAAACCAAATAGCAGAGAGTATAATGATGGATAATAATCTAAGAGATGTATTCTTTATTTGGCTCTTGGTGTAGTATATACACTATAGATTCTATACAGGAGGGAAACATCTTCCTGTGTGCCAGAACTTGCAAAATGCAGAGCTGGACAGTAACAGAGTAGTGAAAAAAACCCAACACTAGCTCCAAGTCAGTAAAATTCTTAGTAACATTCCTTGCAAGCAAAGGGAAGATAAAGACGTGCCTTTACAGGTGGAACAGCAAGTCATTATTCTGTTCTCGGTTTCAGTCACAGGTGTAAACAGGAAGCTATGTTATCCTGAATTGTAACTTCCAAAAAGTCAGTATGAGATGGTGTACTAGTCATGTCTTCCTAATGATTGTATCTTCCTACCTTGTCCTTACATGTTCCTAGCTGGAAAGAGAATTCATGTTTAAAACAAAGGCTGACCATGTCTGGTTCTTCTAATTTTTTGCAAGAGGTCACTTACGGTTTGTGTAATCTCAGCAGTAACAGTTTGGAGTTGAGAACAGCAGCCTTAGAACCTCAAGCAGCATTATATCACATGCTATTTCTATAAGCCCTTGTGAGCATTATCCCCTTTTGGATTATTTTTAATTTCCTCCCATCCGTGCATACCAAAGTATCCCCTCTTGACAAACCATGTTCACTTTACAGTCCTTCTTCACTCCAAACTTTAAGCTATAATGGAGACTTCTGGAAAACTGCCATGTGCCATGAAAAGCTGCGATAAAGCTAGCACATTCATAAATCAAAACAATACTATGGGGGGGGGGGGAAATAACCTCTTACAGGCAACACTGTAACTGCACTGAAGATGTGCTGTAACTGTTCTACTGTAAACCATTTATAGAGAGTCAGAACTGTTTCCAAATACACATGCCAATACAAAATTTCACCTACCTCTTTGTGGACATGTGATATAGCAGTAGCAAGCTCTAACCCATCTAACAAATTATTGCCATCATAATCATGCATTTTGAAGTAATGAAGCTGCAGTTCTTGCGGAGACATCTCAGATTCTGGTTTCTCAATAACACCTTCCAAATGTTCCATGATGTGGCTAAGAAGAAAACCAAACAAACCTCATAACATAGCCATCAGTTAATATTTAATGCTCTGTTTACATCAAATTTAGTCTTTGATCAGACAGTCATGTACACAGGAAACATCGTATCTCTAAAAGCACCCCGGACAACTAAGACAACTGAAAGCTGCTGTTTTATACTATGATGAACGGGGTACAAAGGTTGGTTATTACAGGTGCTGTAGTAGCCTCTAATGCCTTAGATAGCTATTTCTATTTCTTCTGGCCTACTTAGCAGGTTATCAAAACAACTGAAGCAGTGCCCAGAATCTCCTCTGGCTGCCTTCCAAAGAGCAGGAACTGAAGGAAGAAGCAGGAAGAAGTAAATGAGAAAAAAATCCTCTCGCTCTACCTGTTCAGAATGTGTTTTTTGTCTACATTATGTTGATCTAGGTAAGCAGGACTCCTGTGAAAAAACTCTTTATAGTATGATTAAGGCTAGGTCCAGAGAGACCTTTCTAAGTCTGGTATCTCTACAAACTTACCAAACAAGTGTGTCTCATATTTGACTCTAGCCAGTCATACAAGATCCTGCGAAAAAGTGTGCCCTAGGCTTATGTCCAACTCGCATAACAAGACTTAAGAGATAAGCAAATCACTAAGAAGCAAAGTTTACATTTTTAGAACACAGAACACATACTCTTTATCTTGTACCAAGTTCTTATCCAGGCGAATATTTCCATGTTGACTCTCTCCTACGTGTTGCTCAGCTAGGGCAGAGATGATAAATGCAGCCAGAATGGAGAACAGCAAGCATATTCTAAAAATCCTTTGGGCCATCATGATCTCCTATAAATAGGAAAACATTAACCCCCCCCAAAAGAAAACAGGTGAAAAATGCAACTATTTTCAGCAGATTTACTGAGTGCTTAGAAATAACCCCACTGAGTACTACAGAATAACTTTCTCCATTTCAAGCACTCAGTAGCAAGTAGAAAACCAAAGAGCTCCAACAAGAATCTGTGCATCCCTACTTCAAAGAAGTACGCAGTAATTTTCAGAGAAAGACTTTCTTTCCCATGCAGCAAATGTGCATTCTTTAGCACTCCATGCGTCTTCATATAGCTTCCAGACAACCAGCCATGCCTGCGTCTTCATACAGCTTCCACACAACCAACCATGCCAGCCCCACAGCTATGGCAGCAAAGGCCGCTTGCGGCAGCAAAGGGGCTGCATCAAATTAGTGGCTCTATTAGTGGATCTGCACTAAACACCACACAGCTCTAGAAGGCTAATTGCAGCGCTCGCTTCCCAAGCAAGCGACTCGTTAAAGCATGTCTGCGAGGTGAGCAAAGCAGCGACTGCAGGCCCGGCTTCTCTCTCCCGTCTCCCGTCTCCCGTCTCCCGTCTCCCGTCTCCCGTCTCCCGTCTCCCGTCTCCAGCACACACGATGAAGCAGTGCCGCAGGCCCTGACAGCCGCCCCTGCCGCGCTGACCTCCCGCCCTCCCATGCCGCAGCGCACACCGCCCCAGCCGCCGTGCCACCGGCAGGGTACTCACCGTGCTTCCCGGCGCCAGTGCCCGCTGTGTCGGTGCGGCGGAGCAGAGCGCGCCGCAGCCAGGCCACCATGCCCGGCGTCACCCCTGACCCGGAGGGCGCACGTACGCACGCACGCACGCACCCACGCGCGCGCTCCCGCCCCGCCCGCCCATTGGTTGCGCCCCTCCGCTGGGCGGGGCCGGCCTCACCGCTCCGGGAGCTCCACGTGGAGCCCTGGTGGAGCCACCGGGGATCGCCCCTCCCAGCACCGGGCACCGGTCACCGGTCACTGCCCTGCCAGGCCCGGTCCCGCCCGAAGGAGCGGCTGAGCCCCGTGCGCCCCTCCGCTGTTACCCTCCGTTCTGCGCATACTGTTCTATTCGCATTCCCCTCTCACCACACGTCAGGGGGCTCGAAGTGGCTAATGACGGGAGCCTGGCGTTCAGCCGGCTTCCGAGAGCCTTACCCGGGGAGCAGCGCCCCACGTCTTTCCCGCACAGAGCCCCGGGGCTTCACCGGCGGGGCCAGCGCTTCTCAGGCCTGAGGGCAGCCGGCTGGGGGCCGCCCCCGTGGCGGGTCGCGGTGCCGGGGCAGCCCCAGTGTGGAGGGGCCGCCAGGAACCTGGTCCCGCGATCCCGCACCGCCGCACGCACCCCCCCGGTGCTACCGCCGGGCGGGGCGGGGAGGGGCGGGGCCGGCATTAAGATGGCGGCCAGGGGGTTGCACTCCCACGTGAAGCTGGAGGGGGAGATCGAGCGGTGCCGGGCGGAGGGACAGTGGGCGCAGCTCCGGCACCTGGCCCAGCAGCTGCTGCCGCCGGCTCGGACCCCGCGCAAGGCGGCGGGGGGCGCGCAGGACGCCGGTAAGCGGGGCAGAGGAGCTGCTGTTACCGCAACCCCCGGGGCGTGGGGTGGCTGGTGGCTCCGTGCCTGATGCGGGCGGGAGCTGCGGCTGCCCCGCGTCCCAGGGTTGCGGGAGAGAGCAAGGAGGTGCTGGCGCGGGTTGCGGGGTGTTGCCCGGTGTCCCCCCGTAGGCTCCCTGACCCCGGTGGAGCCCAGGAAGCCGCGTTCAGGAAGATAACGCTGTTTCCTCGTGTCAGTGCTTCCGAGTCCGCAGGGCTGCGAGGGGAAGCGCAGTGCTTGGAGGGGTCGGAGGGGAGGAAAGGGAGGCAACGTTTTCTCGGTGCCGTGCCGCTGCGCTCGGTGGCTCTCTTGGGTTTAGCATCCTCGGCTGCGCTGCGCGCAGGCTCCCCACCGAAATCCTTCCTTTTTGTTTCTTTTCACCATCTCGATGTGTGTGATGCTGAGTCCCTCTTGCTCCCTTCCCCACCCTGTTCTGGGTGCCTTTGCTTTATATCCCTCCATTTCTGAAGGGAACTGATTTCTGTAAAGGCTTGGGCTCACCCGAGCATCCTTATACATATGAGATGGATTTCATAAATAAACATATCTTTTTTGCCTGTTAACAGCACATTACTTTGCTTCCTTTTAAATGAAATCGGTTGTACGAAGTAAGGCAGCCTAACTTTCTAACTAATAGTTAGAAATACAAAACTCTGTGTAGTCAACAGCAGTTAAGTTGTGAAAGGACCGAATCCTCTCTACTGTATTGGTACCAGAGTCTCCGCCGCTGAAGTCGGAGGAGCTAATTGTATGAATAACCCACTTCTTCAGAGGAGCGTTTCTAGCATGTGGCCCTAGCATTAACTGAAGCTTGAGATGTTGTTAGCTGAAGACAGTTATCTATGAGGCTTTCCAAGTGTATACGTGCCACAGATCAAGCCCTGTGCTGAGAACAACACAGCTAAACTGAACTTTAGTCAGGTTTCATCAGCGCTTCCCAGGTGCAGAGATCATCATGCGGTTTGGGGGCATTAATAGTTGAAGAGTTCATATTAGTTGGTCGCTTGTAATTAACGTGCACAACAACATTCTGATTGCTGTAAAAACATCGTTTGTTAAATTGCTGCTATGTCATCATAACATGCTAGTTATGACAGAGTAATGCTTTGCTGTTCCTACAGAGCGTTTCTTCCAGCAAGGGACTAGCAGCAGTTTTGTGTTTCCAGAAACACAGCAGTGTATCTTGATGGGGTCTTTTTAATAGTAGTATTTGCTTTGAAAGACTGTATATTTATTTCTTAATTGCATATGGTCTTGTGTAAGTCCTTAAGTTTGTGATTACATGAAAGCTCTCCAGTGTTGTATAGAAATGATTGCGTGTGAGGTTGGAGGAGAAATGTGCTTGGATATTTACACTTCCAATTTCAGGTACCTATGCTTTGCACAAGTTAGTTGTAGACCTGCAATTGGACAGGAGGTGCTGTGGTTCTTATTTGATACGCAACTAAACACAGTTCAACAAGGAAGTCTAAAGCAGCTCCAAGGTGATTCTTAATGCCAAATGTAGCATATAGGTAGTAAGTGGGGATAAGTTGTCCCATGGACTGGAAATACAGAAATTGATACACTGTCATGTTTCCTGCTTTCTGCAGTTTTAGACTTTGAAATGTGAAGCATACATGAAATGTAGGGCTTGGCTCTTTGATTTATGAAGATTTGCTTGCCCTTGTTGACTCACTAGTCAGCTGATTGAGGTACTATTATGAATAAAAGAACTGCAGAACTGGACTCATCATGCAGGAACTCCAAGTGCACTGGCAGATGAAACTTCTTTTTCGGCATATGATTGCAGCATCGCATGATGCTTCGTCCTGTATCCAGTGCTACTACCTGAGTCTGAGTTTCTCTTCACACTGGAACGGTAAACAGGAAGGGATTTTAATGTAGAAAGTATTTTACGTGGTGTGTTAGTTATGTCACTGGATCAAGCTTTGTGTGTCTTTAGTCATGGATATGTAAAATGTGTCAAAATTCTCTATTTTTACCCTTTTTGTGAACTTTCAGGAGGATCTTAAAAGCGTCTGCTGTGGTTACTGTTCTGCAGTGAAATCCATGGCTTATCTGTAGTCCAAAGCATGTGTTTCATACCTGTGTATTTATAAACCTAGAGCGTGCACTTAAATGTTTGCAGAGAGTGATCTTATAGTTTTGAAAGTGAGTTTTGTGATGAAAATTCTTAACTGTTATAACAAAAATCAGCTGCATTGTCAGAGGATCAAAGGATTCGCTGGGGAAAATTTTCAAGTTAAAAGGAAATGCCATTTCATTTTTTTCACAGGAAAGGTACTGTTTCCAACAGCTGGAAGTTAATGGAACTTTTTTCTTTCTGCGAGTTCTTCTTTATCCTCTCATTTGAGTTACTATTTGTGTGTTGTCTTGTTTTTGTAAGGCTATTTATCAGCAGTATGACACTAAGCAATGTTTCTTCTCTGTTGGTATGTGCTTTCAGAGGACTATGGGAATATGCTACTTGCAGAGGCTCTGCTGGAAGAATGTCTGAAGGAAAACTTTGCCAAACTGAAGGACTCCATTCCACTGACAGAGAAGAATGAGCCAAAACTGAGTGAAGCTAAACAGCATCTGACCAGTATCTTAAGCAGAGGAAAACTAAGAGTAAGCAGGCTCTGTTGTAATTCCTGCCACCTGGATGCTTCTTTCATATGATTATTAGTCTGATACAAAGTGGTGTTGTTGCCTGTTCATATCCCTGTATGTACAGTGTAGGTATTACTAGTGGATTGGTAATTTGGTACCTCTTTGCAGTGTCTTCTGCTGGAATGCTTGCTTTCTTCATGTGCAAACAAATTATCTGCTTCAAGTATGTATCCGGTTTATTTGTTTTGTTATGGATCCAGTTTATTTGTTTTGTTACCTATCCAGTTTATTTGTTTTGTTAGAAAGAAGCAGGATAAATACTGAGGACTTCCCTGGGGTGGTAGGGCATGGCCACATAACGGTGCTGTCAGGCTAGCACAGCTCAATGATCTACTGCTGCTCCCGGTCTGAGGGAATTGTGTCAGCTCTGCATCAGAGGTAAAACATACAGCGAGCTGCTGTCAGGCACTTCAGGTTGGGCTGTGAGTTCAGGACTGCAGCCTTGTGCTGCTTTCAGTCTATGCCAGAGAAGTTACACAAAGTTATGCGTTTATTTTGTGGCCTGGGTGCAGCTCGGTCGCGGATCTCCAGGAGTGTTTTAAGACTGCCTCCTGCTGTGTTGGTGTTCTTGGGCACACAGTTGCATAACTGGTTTTAAAATGATCATGAATTACAACAGTCCGTGTCAGACTTGGGTTGCTTTTGGTCCTGAAACTTACAGCCTAGTTAGCTTGGATGTGTGATGCTGTACTTTCACCATGTTAATTCCCAGGAAGCAAGAGTGCAGCAGCTTCTTCTGGGAGAGTTGCTTGTTCTTAACTTCTTGGAAATCAACATATTTCAGAAGTAAAAAGGAGAGGGGGGAGGAAGCAGAGTCCATCCAACCCTCTCTCTTTATAGTTTAGCCTCAGCTGTATGGAATGACTGAGTTCTTCCAGGTTTTACTGTTAAGTTTGGCTGCATGAATTGCCATTACTATTCCTTTGTTAGTGGTGACTGGGCTACTCGTGCAGCATTGACCCTGTGTTGACTGCATGTATTTAAAAAGAAAAAAGAACTATGAGTATGAAGTCTGTCCAAAGCATAAAAAGAGTCTGAACAGATGTATTTAAGTGAAATATTTCTTGTTACACAGATGTGCACACATGTTTTCACTCCTTGAGAAATTGAATAGATTTTAGGAATAGCAGGCATGTCTTCTGTTTTTCTACCTTTGCCTGAAAATTATTTTGATAACTTACGGAAATTTGAGTGCTTTCTTGCGATACAAATTAAATGTAGAGTGGGAAGGGGAGCACTTGACTAAAAAGTGATGCCTTCTGCCTAGCTTAAAAGCAGGGGAATTTCTTGATGTGTATATAGCTAGTTCTGACAATGCCAGGCTTTTATGTGCTACCTGTGGCTGGTGAATCAATAGAGTAGTTCATATGAAACCAGAGAGGTGGCTTGCAAGCTGTGTGCTTCCAAACTGAGCTTCAGAGTAGTTGCCTGACCTTTGTTGCTTGCTGTTCTTGTGAGCATAGCCCTAAGAGCTCCACTTAAATCCTTCCTGCTCTGCCCTACTCTAACAGTGTTGAGAGGAAAGCA